GTGTGTGTGTGTCCGGTAACTCTAATAGAACGCCACCCGAACCGTCTACTTTTAGCCTACAGGGTGGCCGATAATGATAGGACGTTTTTTTTGAGAGCTCCTTGGCCCGGCGCCAAAGAATAATTTTGAAAACTTTCGAAACTTATAGAAAGTAGGGACCCTCTATAAGCAGTGATTTATATCATTTGGTATCATTTTGTTTTTTGTTCAGAATTATGACGACTTCTCCACACCAACCCAGGATCGCGACTTTTCTCGAGATGGGGTGCACGTGTTGATGTGGCTAGAAGACTAGAAGAGTTTCTTCATCAGGTGTCCGAAATGTTTTTGAAAATATCCAAAAGGATCAGAGGAACCTACTAAAACAAAAATTAAGACCACCATTAACTTTGAACATTCACCAGACTCGGGGGATCTCAAACGTCAAATTGAGCAAAAAAATGGGTTTTAGCCTTGGTATTGCATGGTCCAGATTTCAAAAAATCTGAAAATAGGATTTAAACACTTGCAGTTACCGTATCTCCCGCAAACTGATCCTTTCTTATACATCCGGGGCCTGCAGACGCGAAAAATGCAAAAAACTATTTTCACACCTCCACCTGCGGCGGGTGTCAGACGAGATCTAGGGTGACGTAATGAGTTTCCCTGATGAAACTCTTCCGAACCGTCGGGATCAGGGACAATTGTTACCAAAAGATGACAACGAATCTCCTGAACGTATTTTATCTTCAAATTGCTTTTCCGTAAAAATTTCAAAGTTTGGGATAGAATCACGGCAACCAATACTAATTGTTTGGTTTTTGGTGAAAATCAGCTCGCATGTCTACCGAATGACAGTTTTGATGCATAATTTGTTGTCCTGGGTCACTCAGCAGTTTGTTGGACATATTTAAAACCATCTGTAAGACTCAGCACCTTCTTGTAGATCGAAATCCACAATTGTGGTCTTAGACGCTCATTTTCCTAGAAAACTCGGCTACGATTGGGGGCCCTCTAACTTCACGGATTTCAGTCCGATGGACTTTAATGTATGGAATCTTTTGAAGAACAAGATCTCAGAAATCTCCTAATGTTTTTTGGACTTCTGTAAAGTCCATTTCAAAAGTTCTAGGGCGACTTTGACGTCAACTACAGTCGCCGCACAGCCAAATTTTTTATCATGCGTTTGGAGGCTTCTGTCAAAGCTCGTGGTTCTAATCATGACTACTTGTTATAAAACTAAAATTCTTACATATTTTGAATATTTTGATAAAGTTATTACAGTTATAAAACGTTTTTCTAAAAAATGGGAGACGTTTAGAAACGTCCTATCATTATCGGCCACCCTTTATATATCTCACTTCTTTTGAAAGATATCAAAAAGTTGTCAACTAATGAAATGTTTGTTATAATTTCAGCAGCGTTTTATTAGTTAACCACTTTTTGATATCTTTCTCAGAAAATGAGATACATGGGCTCAAATTTGACGATTCGGGTGACGTTCTATTAGAGTGTTTAGGGTATTTTCATTCGGATTCTTGATACAGTACCACCTTGTTTTAAGTAGAAATAGTTAACTTTGGATTAAAAAAAAATGTTGTAGATTTCGTATAACAAGACTGAAAATGTGAAGGTCTACTCAACAAAAATAGAGCTTAAATTTTGTAGTTGACAACTTTTTTGTAAATTTTATTCAAATGAAATAAATCGCTTAAAGCCAACCAACTGCCAAAGGTTCCAGAAATATCACTGAATATTAGTTATTAAACTTTCAAGCCTTATCTAGATGAATCTGTATATCTCATTTAGATGTATTTGTGCAAAAGATAGCCAACTACGAAACTGAGATCTTTTTTTGTTTGGAGACCTGAAAATTTTCAGCCTTGAAGGTTACAATCTATTAGGTTGTTTGGAAAGTTCCTCCCATTTTTGATTTACTGTTTTCAAACCCGTTTTTTGTGAACGGGGTAAAAGCGAGAAAGCTGTCCTTTTATGAGTATATTGGTGGGGTCTAATAGTCTCTACACCCCAACGGAGATCATTCTCCCCTTTTCGTGTAGTGAGATATGCCCACCGTTTTCGCCCCTAACAATTTACATTTTTGGACTACCATGTGGTTTTTGTTTCTATCTGACCGGAAAATTGCTGAAATCAATTGCCAATTAGTGGAGTTGAAAAACAAAGATTCATCCTGTCAAACTACTATCACAATCTGGCTCCACCAATTTGAAAAAGGAGAATTCGCGTTGGACGAAAATCTCCCTTCAAAAAAGCGAATGGGTTTAGGTTTGGATTCATTAAAAACCGGGATTGAAAGAGGACCATTTCAAACTGTGAGGGAGTTCTTAAGAACATCGGTAGCAAGCATTTCATCAAAAAGGCATGAACGAGAAACTCTCCGCAAATTCAAAAAAGTGGGAAGTTATGGACCACACCTTTTGGATCAATGTAACTTGGATACAAGTGTGGGTGAATCTTTTCATCCTGCGTTGCGCACATAATAGTTGGATCAAATAATTACTAGTGGTGATAAATGGGTATTGCATGATTGACATTAGCGACATGCCAAGTGTGTTGACAAAGTCACTCAACCGCCAGACGTCGCGAAACATGAAATTAATTATAAAAATGGGATGTTGCCGGTTTGTTGGTCTACTAAGAAGTGGAGCATTGACAGCTGCTAGATGATGTAGTCCCAATTACGGCCGACTTCTATTCTTGTTTGTTGAAATAACTCATACCACATGTAGATCTTCATTGCGGAAAAGCGCGAAAGTTTAATTTCAAAATTATAATCTCCAACCTCGTGTGGGAAGGACGAACCAGGCCGATCTCGCTGTAAGTGGCTGGACTATGCTGTCTTATCCACCGTATAGCCTGAACCTTGTACTTCCTGACTATAATTTATCCAGCCACTTCCAACGCCATTTTGATTGAAAGAAATTCACTTCGAAACAGGATCTCAAAAATGGGTTGACTTGATTTTCAATTCGCTGTGGCCGGAGTTTTGGAAGGACGGCATCCACCATTTGGTGGGGCGTTGACAGAATGTCATTGATAACAATGGGCACAGCCATCAATTTATCCGTTTTGACTCTTTTTACATTGAATGTATCTAACGCTAAAAATGGGAGGAACTTTCCAAACAACCTTATAATATGTTCTTCAGACATCCAAAGACCATCAGAACAAAAATATAGATTTTTACCAGATCTACATGTTGACTTCAAAAATGAATTTTTTTAGTGTTATGGAATTTTCAGAAGACTAAATACATCCTCATTGCTGCTGAGTCCAAAAATAAACAGTTTTCAACTAAAACTATCAATATGTGATATCTTTTGCTACTACGCTCCCAGAAGTATATTGTATGTCTGCACCTGGTGCTATCTCTTGGATATTGACTTATGTGTGGTCATTGTTGCCTAACTCTCAAGTTTCTTCCCAGAGGAGCTACGGAAATTGGCAAAAAGAGAAGAGAGTCTTGACTAATCTCTTCACCCCACCCCTCCAATTATGAAGACGTGCAGACAAACCACCTGGATTCTCATGACAGCAGGCGAAACGGTTCGTTCTCCTCCTCTTTCATTTACTTGCTCATTCATTAGTAGGTTTCTCTTTTTTTTTCTCTGTTATTAATACTAATTGATTTCTCAAGTTCAGAATTTCTTTCCATCTCTGACAAATAGAACTATTCAACTTCATATCTTTCAGCAGTTTCCCACAATGAAGTTTAGAATCATGTCAGAGAATCATTTCGGAGATGAGCATTTGCCACCATGTCAAAAATGGAATGGATCTTCTGCCAACTCCACACCATGCGGACGACTTTTTCAAAGACTTCGACGAGAAGTCCGACGATTGAGACAGAACTTTTCATTACATCGAAAGATGATTTCGAAACTTCGTCGAGATAATCAAAACCTAGAGGCCGAATTGAAGAAAAAGAATGCGTTGTTGAGGAACCGTCAATCTGCAGGATCGTGTCCAATATGCTTTGAAGAGTTCGAGGATACTTTCTGCAGGGAAGCAGTCATGGGTTAGCTTTTTTTTTGAAACACCGACCGGAAAATCCACAAGGTCAAGCTAAAAAATAAATTTTTAGCAACGCATTTACGTAAACACTCTAATAGAACGTCAACCGGACCGTCCACTTTAAGCCTACATATCTCACTTCTTTTGTCCACTAATAAAATGTTTATCATGATATCAGCAACATTTTATTAGTTAACCACTTTTTGATATCTCTCACAGAAAATGAGATACTCGGGCTAAAATTTGACGATTCCGGTGGCTTTCTATTGGAGTGTTAAAGGTATACAGGGTGCGGCAAAAGTATTGATACAAAAAGAAGACGCCATAACTCCTCGATAAATCCAATCCGGGTCAAATTTTAACAGGACTTTATCAATAGGATTTGTAACAAAATTGAATCATAGTTGTTTGTTTCTAATGGCGGGGCTCAACTTCTTCGGATGACGTTTATGCTGGCACGGGGGCGGTCTGCCGGCAAATGGTCCCATTCCGTGGAAGGAGTTTTTTTGAGAGCATCCAAAATGGTGTTAAAACAAACTTGAACACATGCGTAAAGAGTTCCTTGTACGAAAATCTCAATCGATTTGTGATCTGACTCAAGACAGGCCATTCTTTTTCGTGGATCAAATTGCAGAAGTTGACGTGGTACTCCTGCTGAACATGTTTTGCCGTCTGAGCAGGCGCTATGTATTTTTGGGATATCTGCATTTGCTATTCAAAGTTAGATTATGATTCAGGCAGTATGATTTCCACTAGAAGTAGTATTCTTGGTACACTTACAAACCTGGCTCCACCAAAAACAGTGGTTTTTTCTCATTTGAAGTGCTTCCTCCAAAAGTCATGGTTTGCTGAAGATTGGCTCTTCAGAGAATCAACAGACCATTACTGTTAGATAGCCAAGGACATTGTGCCTATACATGCCAATTTTTAGAATTGAGTTTTGCCTCTAAGCTGAACAGTGCCTCATCAATGAACGCGGTGGTCAAGCGCGTGCCAGAAGTTCAGAAAAACATCAAAGAAGATGTACAGAAAGTAGTGCCATCTTCGTAAAATTTGAGATAAGAACATCAAACTTTGCACATCTACCAATTAAGAGACGGGGAAAAATATGAACACAAAATGAAAGCACGAAAAGTGCTTCAGCGCGCGCCAGCTTGCGATAAATCTTTGTATCAATACTTTTGCCGCACCGTGTATGAAACGTTTTTTTTTTCAAAAATGCAATCTTTAAAAAATACTAATTTCCATACTTGTGAAATTTCGGCCCGGCCCGGTTCGGCCCGGCGGCCCGGACCGGCCGGCCCGGCCCGGGCCGGGCCGGGCCGAGAGAAAATTTTCAGGGCCCGGCAGAAAAAAAACAAAATTTTTGTTTTTGAATTTTGTTTTTGTTTTTGAAAATGAATTTATTGATTTTTAGAATGTATTGAAAAATAACTCGAAGAAAAAAAACACTGAATACCTTTTTTCGAAACAATGATTCAACTTTTCGCTCAAGATTTTGAAGTTCGCGGTAAACTTCCG